GGGAAGTGATGTCATAAGTCCATTGTAGTAATGTGATGTTTCACTTAGTGACTATGTTGCTTAGCAATGTAGTTGCCGGTCATTAAACAAGGATGTACAGAAATAGATAGACTGCAAGCTCTGTTTGACCACTAGATAGCAGCAAAGAGAGAGCTGTCCTCTATTGGTTGTTATCTACATTTTTGCAGCTCAGATACAGTAGCTGTAATGGAGCCTCCATTGAAATAAACTCCTAATGTGTTTTTGTTTTTTTTGCATATTAATTTAGGCATATCTGCATTTGCACATCTGAAATTAAAATAAAAAACTGAGATGACTTTCGCAATCATTCATGTAAAAGATACTTGCAAATAGTTATTCCCATACTAGGGAGAATACATTAAGGAAGTCCCCCCACCCCATATATTTTAGTATATTATAGTGACTGCCTGAATTAAATTTAAGTAAAACGAAAGGGACCCAATTCTTATAGAGAAATCAATCTGTATTATAATCTATGGAAACTAGACACACTTTGATTTGAATGCGGAGTTTGCTTAACAAGCAGTAGCAGCTGTTTTGTTTAAAGGATAAAGACAGGCGAATTCAACTTCTATGAAGCCTCCCATCTATCTTCATTAGAGGTATAAATAAAATATTTCTGACTGCTTAAACTGTGCATCCTTTTCAAAGAATTTAAAGGAAAGTCATTCATCTCTTCGAAATTATACGTCAAACAAAATTCCTTAGCCTGGTTATCAGAAAGTCTAATTTAAAGAAGGATTGAACAATTGATGGGCACATGGCAATAAAGAGTTACGGAAAAAAAATCGGATTCCTTTATATCCATCTAGATTTTTTTGGGCCACATATAATAGCCTTAGACTATGGTTAAGATAGTCTGGGAGTTAATTGTGTAATTTATGTAATGAAGAAAAGAAACTATACAAGTTGACTTCATGCATTATATGAAGATACATTCTGCAACTCCAGAATAGCATGCATGCCTCCTGCAGTTACAAATCTTAGATTTGTAATTATGAACAGCGTGATTTATAGCATGACTGCCATTTATAGCATTAAAAACAGCCTAGTATGAGTTCTAGGATTATTAGGCTTAAGCCAGTTTGAAAAAAAAATCAAATGCTTTCCTCTAAATCCTAAAAATTCTTGATCTCCATGTATTATTGATATACTTCTCCCTCCTTGCAAACATGGCTTTTCCTGTATGGCTCTTCTCTTTTCAATAATTAAGCTTCTGCCACTAAATGTTGCTTATAGTACCACTTAAATCACTATACAGGTAGTCTTTACTTAATGATTGGGACTGGAATTTTGAATAATAAGTGATGCAGTCATAAAGCAATAGCAATGTTAAACCCTGGATAGGGGTTTGCTGTATCTGGGGGAGGGACCTCAGCACAGGAGATGGGTGGTGGGAAGACTGGCCTGAACTGTGTCGGAGGCTGCAAGTGGCAAGCAATGCAGAGCCGATGAACAGCTGATCCCAACTGAATGCGAGCTAGCTGACGATCAGCTGATTGTGGTTGCCTGCAAGCCGGCTGATGAGCAGCTGATCAATTCTGCGGCAGCCCAACAATCAGCTGATTAGGCCTGTCGAATGGTCGGCTGTTGCGGTGGTGGAAGGGCACGGCTTCAGTCTTCAGAGGGTGCTGAGAGGTGGGGGCTCCTAGCCCTAACTTTATTCCTTATTTCTTGACAATGGAACTCACTGTGTGCTGAGAATTCAGCTTAATAAAGCATTTGGAACCTTGAGCAAATGGTGTCCTACTTGCAGTTTAAGTCTGTAGCTCAAGTCTTTGAGAGGAAGTTAGAGATCTTTTTGTCTCCCCCCTCCTGTTTGGATTGTTTGCCTGAAGGGTTCCTGGATGGCTTGCTGGAAGGTAGAGGAGCACTGGGGATATGGCAGAAGGGATGGTGGTGGCGGCCGATGTGGGAGAAATAGCAATAGCACTTATAGACTTATATACAGCTCCACAGTGCTTTGCAGCCCTGTCTGTGGTTTATAGAGTCAGCATATGGCTCCCAACAATCTGGGTCCTCATTTTACTGACCTTGGAAGAGTGGAAATCTGAGTCAACCTTGAGCCGGTAAGAATTGAACTGCTGGCGCTCAGCA